CAGACTACAAGTCATACTGTAGTATTAGTAACTAGTAAGAAAATTCCATGCATTAGAATTGCCAGTTCGAAATGGAGCAAAACCATTGGGTATGAACAATGGCCGTTGGGTAAGACTTCCTTAGAGCCCCTCACCCATAACTCTAATTCAACCCTGCCGTCTCTATTTCATGTCTCATATAGCGCCCTCTATGACGTAACACATGTCACTGTAAATTAACATAATAGTCCTATAACACGGGATAGTGTACCCTAACTCGTTGATAAAAGCAAACGCAGATTGTACTTGTACGAGGCTATATGTCATCGTTTTTATTAGTTCGAAAAACTCCAAGATCCTCCAGAACAGAATTTTACAAAATTCTTTTTCCACATTTTTTCTTCTTCTTTATTTCAAAGTCCACTAGAGATACTGATTTCTTTGTCTTCCCATTCAATAGCATCGCTATTACCACGAATAGATGTCATGGTGATGCACTTACTTGTATGAGCATGTTCACCAGACTGAGACAGTCTACATAAGGCAACTCAAACCTGCGGTGAAAAATAATTATTATAAAGTGCATTGCGCGCCTGGCATTAAATCGCGGTGGTCGTCGAGCAGCGCGTGTTCGAATTTCATGTAAATAAACAATGTATTTCACACGCGTTGTATACGTCGCTATGAGTCCCATATCGCACAGGACGCGGCACGACGATTGCCGCCCTTTAAACTGTTGAAGACGCCTCGAGCTTCCGACATTCCATTCAATACAGCTATGAATAGTGAATCGTGCATAAACAAATTAACCCTTAAATAGTTGTTTACTTCAACTGATCATACATTCGAGTTGCGAGCTTCACGCTCCAGTTACCGGTGAACTGGTTCCCTCGGTCACAGCATTCGATCACCCCTCGAGTAGCCTATAGATTGTCAAAGCATTGATGTCATTGATTTTATTTAAAAAATAAATTGTTTCATATAGAAATTGTTATTTTGCGTGGTGTCAATTCATCAACTGCAGCCTTTACATTTAAATTAACAATCTGTCAGTAGAATATATACATTTATATAACGTTTTAGTTTTTCACGCATACAATAAATACTAGTTTGGAAATCAGAGGGCGCCATGTAACCGCATATATGCTAATTCAGTGATATATACAATATTTTTTTTTTCACTTTAGCATTTGAATAGATACTAACAGGACATCATGATAGCATGGTGGCAATACCTTCTAGTTTATTATGCGTCTGATGTAATACATGGGCATTACAAAAACAACATTAAAATAGAAAACAACATTTTATATATCACCTGCACATGTGTATCTTATAGAGCAGTTTAACATTAGGTGTATTCGTTTGAAGTCCATATTCATGTGAGCCAAATGATGGTAATTTTATTGTTTAAAAAACTATGAAAATTAAGCATTTTTGCCGGAACCGTTCCGTAACTGAATCACGGTCATGTATAGATGAAATTCATTCAAAACGTGTACTTACATTGGACATTATAGGAACTTAAATTATAGGATTGTGTTTATCAGATTGAATTCAAAATGACCGTCTGGTTGCCATTCTTCCCTGATGAATGCTATTCCAGGGACATAGCCCTGATTTTCCTCGACTGATTTTGCTCAAACTTGATATACAAATCACACACCACGAAACACATATGTACATGCATTTGTTTAATAATCCAATTCAAGATGGTCGAATAGCGGCCATTTTTATTTTAGAAATGCACTAAAATCAATTTTAATCACAAATTCTGGTTATACATTGACAGCAGATTTTCAAACGTTGCACATACATTGAACATAACATGACCTTCTTGTACGTCATTATTGTTTTCAGATCAGAATCAAAATAGCCGACTAACGGACATTTTGTATTATGAAAGCTATTCAAATGACATAAACGCTGCAATGCCCTTACTGATTGCTGTGAAACTTTACAACTACAATATACATCATGTTGAAAAAAAACACATACCAGGAAAATAAAAATATATCACCCAACCTCTTTGATTTCAAATTGTTAACCCTCAAGTAACTTTGCATTGAATCCAAAACTAGGAATCTTTTTAAGTGCATGTTATAGATCTAAATTGGATGTCTCAATAATTAACCCAGAAATGCTGAAACTCCGCGTTTTTCTGGTGCTATCAGACCAACTCGTGATATGGATGTTTTCTATGAATACATATTATTTTGTATTTTGTACTAATGTCAATTGTACTGAGAAAATTAATTATACAAAGTTTGTTTTTCTTCAGCTCGACCACGTGGATACAAACAATATGTCAAGTTATCCTAACCCATATGCAAACGCAGCCGGTAATACGAAAAGTCCATTCTGTTCGACGCCTTACTACAAGTACCCAACTTCATTAACCGACAGTCTGAGCTACCCTCATCCAACGACTCCAACAACGTTAGCAAACGCCGCCAAACAAACAACTTTACCGAAGTGTTATTCTGACAGTTTCAGTTCTTCTCGTGAACCAATCCACACATACTCCGACAAACAGACACCATCGTCGACATCATACTGCGAGAATATCGGTTTCCCTCTTGAGCCATCCACCCATACCTACTCCGACAAACAGACAACTTCATCGAGGTCTTACTGTGAAAACATCAGTTCGTCATATCGATACCAACACCAAGAAGAAGAAGAACTAACAGAAGGTATCTACGATAAAGAAAACCAGCGTATAACAAAGGTTCCGGATGAAATATGGATGAATCCCAAGTACAGACAAGTCGAGACAGTATTGCTGAACCAAAACTATTTGACAACGTTCCCAACCAACATGAAAGTACTGACACAAGTAAAGCATTTGTATTTGGCGCGAAATTTGTTCACTGAGCTGCCGATAGTTGTCCTGAAATTCACATCTCTGAAAGTACTGAACCTGGAGAACAATAAACTGACCCATTTACCTGCAAATATGTCAATGTTACAGTCACTGACCGAATTAAATGTGTCCTACAATCAACTTTCTGCTTTGCCAGAATCGTTACGTAACTGTGAACAGTTGGTAATTTTACGTGCCAGCAACAATAACATTGAACAATTCCCGCACCAGTTATGCACTTGGAAACTGCGAAAACTGGTTTTGCAAAACAATCAACTTAAGGTACCACCACAGAATATATGTCAAAAAGAAAACTGCCTCAGCGATGTACAAAGATACTACTCACAGAATGAAAAACAACAACGATCTTTGCAAGATTTGTCAAATTTAAAAGTGGATGAGCATCAGTCGGACGCCAAGGGATCGGACCATGAACGGCATCGGGTAGACCTTGATGGGGATCCAAAGCTACAGCAAGATGTTGACGCGTTCCCGTTTGAGGACCCACCTACAGAAGAAGTCCAGCCACAAAGGCCTGAAGTCCAAGCACATCAGCGTGAGCTGAATACAGCGACCATGCAGGATGTAACTAACCCACCCACCAGAACTAAAAGAAGCACAAGTCAAGGTGATAGTTATGTTATGAACCGTCGACCACGTGGTGAAGCAATAATCATCAATAATGTGAAATTTATGGAACCAGGTCGTGAAAGGAAAGGATCAGATGTTGATGCAGGTATGCTACATTATTTAGATGATAATCTCAATTACAGAATTCAATTATGTATGATCACGAGTAATAATCTTGACATATGCAGTTTATGTGACGACGAGAACGTTGGCAATAAGCTATACATATCAATAGGGGTGGGCCCTATTATCACCCCTTGGCCTGATCTAAAATTTTGTATACTGATAGAACCCAATGCGTTTTTAGCGTGTGTTGTTATCGTCGCTTAGGACTCAATTCCCTGGCGTGCGCAGCTGACGAATCTCGCGTTTTAAACACCTTGATCTTAAATTTGGCTTGCAGCACGTATGTACCAAGTGTAATATTGTTTTATAATTGTTTTACGTCTCCCCATGTGGATTGGCCCCCATCTTGAATTTAAGAAAACTCAAAAAGACACATTCCCAACAATATGATATTGTTGTGGCAGAATTAAAGCGGAAGGGTCGTCACCTGCACACGCGCGGGAATCCAGTTCCAAGCGACGATAACAACACACACACACAAGACGCAAAGGGTCATGGGTAGACGCTTGTTTGTAAACAATGACACGCTATGGCCATCTGACGCATGCGCAAGTGACGACTCCCTCGTTTTAACATATGCATTAACAATACTGAACATTTTTTTAAATGTTGACGTTTTGGTACTTTTTCAGAACGGCTGTATCATCTGTTCACGAACCTACATTTTCGCGTTCACGAATATACAAACTTAGGAGCAGAGGAAATGACATTGGTGTTGAAGGCATTCAGTAAAGAAAGCCACAAGAGGTTTGACTGTCTGGTTGTTTGTATTCTATCCCATGGCGCACTGGGTAAAGTCTATGGTATAGATAACCGGGATGTCGAGATAAAAGAGCTGACCAAACTGTTCACATCGCCATGGTGTCCAACTTTGGCGGGGAAACCTAAACTGTTTTTCATTCAAGCGTGTCAGGGAACGACTAACATGACCGGTGTCGAGACAGATGGTGACGATGAAATCAGATCTTTGATCCCGAGCGAGGCTGACTTCCTATTAGGCTATAGTACCGTACCTGGATATGTATCCTACCGTGACGAAAACAACGGCAGCTTTTATATCAGCAAACTGGTTGACGTCATGGAACAGTATAGTGACGAGGAACATTTACTGGACATGATGACGAGAGTTAACGAGGCTGTATCAAATATGGTGGTCGATATGATTTATACTACAGTTCCTGCCCCCACCTATACTCTTCGTAGCAAAGTATGGTTTAAATAATGCATGATATGTCAAAGTATGTACAACATTGTCAAAGGTAGTGGAACACCACTGTGACAGAAAATACGGAAGTTTCTGGATGAGAAGGAGACTAGTCCACTATGATTTCCCTAATTATAACTGTGATATTCATTCCTATTATTGATTCAATATTATTTAATTGTGATTCAGTTCGTTCCTGAATTTCAAATATGCTATTGTGTTTTATTCAATTAAATCGTCTTTATTACATGTTTAGCGCAAGGTGAACTATCACAAATCACGATAGCAGGCGTCATTTTAAGGATTTCCACTCCCTACTCATAGCTCATAACTCTATGAACCAATCAGAATCAAGACTGCTACAATTTGTTACGGGTCTGATCTTACCATAGCTGTGGATACGTGTTTTAACGTGCGAGTACATGTACAAGTCTGACTTTCAAAAATTCACAAAAACTGAATATATTGTTGACCCAACCACGATCAAGTATACACCATATCACTCGTAATTCACACCCCGCAAACGTCGGAACGAGGCCATGGCATTATGTCATTCTGTTATTACCACACTGAAAATTCACTTAACTAAATGTTATTTTTAGACATGTTTTTAAAATACTAGAAGAATTTTATACGACTTTTTTCATCCTATGTTACGTAAACAAATTTTTAGGTATAAAGAAATAATTATTTCTTTATGGAAAGCAGTGAAACAATTCAAATTGTCGTAATTTCCATCTCATTTTGGTCTCTTTGCTTAGCGGTATTCAAATGGCATTAACATATAATAAGTACGTTCAACTTGTAGTTGTCAAACAATTAAAATTAGTTTTTTAAGTGATTTTACTATATTCCAGATGATGAACCCCTACCCTACAACACACTGGTTGATTTGAAAGTCACTGCCTTAACCCGTATACGTAATTTTGACATTAGTAGAGAAAGACACTGTTCTGAAATGCAAACAAATATTCAAATCCACAGTGAATTGAAATAAACAAGTGCTCAAAATTTCATATTATCCCATGATATGGAATGATATAATTGATGATATAATTTCAAATAATTTTGTCAAATTTTACTTTTACGGCGAACATGGGCGCATTTAATTGTAGATTAGATTATAATGTTTTATACAAGTCATTGGAATAAAAATCATTTTATATAGCACTAAGATTAGATTACTTTTATCAATGGGACTATAAACTGGAATCAATGAATTGGGAAGAGATAAACACAGGATTGTGTCTTAACGTCACTACTAAACTGATAATACCGAAGCTAGTCTGTAATTATGACTGTTTCCATTTCTGAGGTATCTGTAAACAGTGTAGGGCACAGGAATCGAGGAGCAATGTGTTATCAGTATGTAAGCTGAATTTGAAAAAAGTTTTTGTTTGTAATTTCATTTTATGTCACTTCAACAATGTGCATTAACTCCTTTTCCGAAATAAACTACAAATATATAAACTTGTAAAAACTTACCTGGCTTTATTGTGTATATTACCAAATGATAAATCCTTCCACGCATTATAGAAATCTTGTACAGAAGACTTGTACATTGCATTCCCATCAGAGCACATCGAGTTTGTATTAAAAACACCACAAACAAGAGTGGGTTTATATCTGTAAGCCCACAGACACAAAAAAAGATAAAAATTGAAAGATTCGGCAATAAGTTACATCATCAGTACACAGCGCTGAACATGCGTTAATTTACCTACCTACATACATATGATGTATTCCACCGGCTTTTGCCTTTTCCATGAATAATTCAATGAAAACTACTTTACATTGAAATGACCTTTCTGATACCTTTTATAGTCCAGAACCTTAGTAGAGTCCAGTTGTTAGAGTCTCAACCTGGTGAGTTTAATGTTGTAGACGAACCAACTTTTTCAACATCTGGGGAGGAGCTCTTAACTATGAGTAATCAGTGCACAGTCGTCTAAGGTTATTGCTCCATCAGCGGCTAAGCCAGCCAAGATTATTGCTCCACCTGTGCACACCAAGTCAATGTCATTGCTCTTTCGGGACACAGCCAGACAAAGTTATTGCTCTATTAGTGCACATGTAGTCAATGTTATTGCCCCATCAGTGAGCGGCCAGATAAAGTTATTGCTTTATCAATGCACAGCCATTCAAGGTCATTGCTCCATTGGTGCACATACAGTCATCGTTATTGTTCCATTGGTGCACAGACGGCCGAAGTTAGTGCTCGATCTGTGCACAGCTAGCCAAGGTTATTGCCACATTAGTGCACGGCTAGCCAAGGTTATTGTTTCATTGGTGCACATGCAGCCAAACTTATTACACCATTAGTACACGCCCTGTGAATTAATGCCCTTTTAGTGCACAGCCAGTCAAGTTCTTCGCTCCATCAGTACATAGCTAGACTATGTTATTGCTCCATCAGTGCACAGCCAGCCAAGGTTATTGCTCAATCATTGCACGTGCAGTCAATGTTATTGCTTCATTAGTACACAGCCAGCCAAGATTATTGCTTCATTGGTGCACATTCATTGGCATTACGTGTAAATACAATGCAACATGCTTTTTTTATCAGCTCGAAATGTGATTGTGGCAAAATTCACTGTTCTAAATATCTATAGACATATTTTTCACTAATAAAACAGTAGTTGCATATGTTTTATTTATTCAGTACGTGAAACCAATGATATTAATAACTTCAACATTATCCTGCTTTATTTGTATCACAAATTCGTGTTGAGCAATAATTTGTTTTCATAATTCTGTGTGAACCAATTACACATTTCACATATTCCTGGTTAAAAAGTTGTTTATTTAATTGTCTTACAAATGACAATGCAGACGCCTATTTTTAAGATGATGACACATCCTGTTCTGCCTTGCTTTGTAGCTTTCAGGCTGATATTTTTTTTTACAGGACAGTAATAATTCCATAAAGTTTTTTTTTATTCACTTACACTCAACTTCCTTTATTCTATATATAATATACATTCAAAAAACAAATGTTCATAGTTTTAAGTTCGTTATGACAAAAATACACAGTAGGATTTAATTACTTAATTTTGTATGTATTTTTTTTGTAAATAAAGTATAACAATAACCCAAAATAGATTAAATTATTATTAGATATATTTACCAAAATTTCATGCGAACCATAATTTGGCAATATATATAATCATCTTAAGTCAGTACCACCTGTGTCAATTGATTTGAATTACTGATAACGCCACCACCACCACCACTATGAAATGGTTTAAATTAGTGTTATCACGTCAACCCGTGTCGCCACTATTTGATTTTGGTGATCGACTGCCAGCTATGTGAATTGAACTGAAATAGTGTTATCACTACCACCAATGTCAATTGATGTGAATCAATGATATCACTCTATACCTGTGTGATTAGATTTGAATTAGTGATACCTCTACCTTGTGGATTTGAATTAGGAGTGCCACTGCCACTTATGTGGTTTGATTTGAATTGGTGACATCACAAGTCATCTGTGTAAATCATTTTTTTAAATTAGTGATAAAATTTGAAGTCAGTGATTCACTACTGCCTGTGCGAATACTGTGATCACATTTCACCATAATTTATAAATCTGGTTATGGCGAATTATTAATCGCGAGCCAGTTATTAATTATTTAATGCATTTTCGTTTTCTTTAAAGCGGGATGGTCGTCACCTGCGCACGCACGGGAATTGAGTTCTAAGCGACGGTAACAACACACGCTAAAAACGCAAAAGCTAATGGGTATGCGCTTGTTTTAAACAATGAAATGCTATTGCCATCTGACGCATGCGCAGGTGAAGACTCCCCCGATTTAATATATGACCATGAGGCACACAAACATCGCAATTGTGAAATTATTTTGGCTATTATAAAAGCCCACAATAGTCAAACTCAAGACTATGGCAAATTATCTCTGTAAACATACTTTAAATTCTTTAGTGTTTTGCAGTAGCAAACTGTTTCAACTTTTCAGCAGCACTGCGCAGTTTATGTTCTTGTAGATAAGAATATAGTCTACAAACGGTCGCATCCTTTCCGACCTGTCGCGTCCAAAGGTAAAGCATTTGGTATTTCTGCTCTTGTACACTATCACAGTAATCACGGGCAATATCATCCAACTCTATGTCATTCAAGCCAAGTCTCAGACGACCGAACCTCTTCCATTCACGGAGAGGAAGTTCTCTGGATACTAAATCTGTTGATGCTGTCAAACCTAGAGAAAAAATAGAAACATTAGCCAATTGTAAACATATTTATTTAACTTTATTGGAATGAAATTTGAATAAATAAATACAAAGTAAATTATTTTAGTTGTTCGTTGTTTGTGAAGATGGATGAAGATATGTTATTAAAATAATCACGTCAATCCAAATATAAAGAGCAATTTATTTATCATCAACCATTATAAGAGTAATATATATGAACATCAATGCGGTTTATTTGTGTGATGTTCGCGTTTCCGATGCAGCTTAACGTTATCTTTCTGAATAAGCGTACTATTACATATGTGAACAGAATACCGATCACAACTTTGCTGGTGATTTCGTAATGTCGGGGGATTATTAAAATAAGTAAACAACTCATTCCCACGTTAAAATACTAGTCGTGATATATATATGCAGTTTGTCTGAGCACACACTGCAAGAAATAACATGGCATTGGTTAACAATTATCTTTGGAAGTGAATGGCTATAATATACTAAATATACTATATATAAAATATATACTATTACGAATAATATAAAACAATACCAGCTGACTCAGTGAGATCCTGATCTTCTTGACTGCCGATTATTAATCCATTTATGGTATGCAGGTATTCGTGGGACGAATGTGGGTCTGTTAAAACAGATATAAATTGCAAATAACGGAAGAAAATATATTCAATAGTATGCAATGTATTCAATAAAACCATAATCACATACGTATTTTAAAACAGAATAGTAATAAATATAAGTAATGAATACAAACCTGGTTGTAAACATTCATTAATATTATTTCTTGGTTCTACATCATCAAACATGTTGGGCACTGCTGAAAGGGGAAACGTACATTAAGCTATAAATAATTAAGGGAACAACCCACATCCGACAAAAAAATCAATTCGAACAATTTTCCAATTTATCTGCCCTGCACAACTATAATGCATTACAAAATGAAATAAATGATATTGCAATTTACAAATCGCCCCCCTTTTCACACATAAAATTAAAACTCGTTAATTACATATGTATTTGCAATAACATAGAAAAAAATGTGAGTATTTAACCAACCTGATTCGTCAGTATTCCTTGGCTCCACACCTGTCAAAATTAGACAAAAGTTGATATTGATAAAACAAACCAGGGAGCCAAGTATTCTTCTTCGCGACAAATGATAAAGAAGATATTGTCCAGAACATAAATAATATATACCATACCTGCCTCTCCGAATACATTGTCATCAGTGTCGGTGTCTCGTGGATTCATGTGCAACAAAGGGACCATTGGTTCAACTTTTATGGAAACATGAAAAACATAAACTATTCATTAAGTGCAGAAATATTGAATATTGAATGAAACCTACAAGGTATGAACACTTTTAATTAATCTAGTACACTTAATATGTGGATGTAAGAATAATTAAGAATAAATGCAGAAAAATGTAATGGTTTGTTTGATTACAAAAAATAATACACAATTGATCACTTTTGAACCGTTACGAGAACCGTCATTGCAAAAAAACTCACCATCACTTGTGCTCGATGCTACCCATGCATTCTATAGTGAATAAACAAACGTAATGAAATTAATTAGTAAAGTGTGAGTGTCGGGGAATGTTTGATTCTTGATTCTATGATTCGTATGTAATTCGTAATATTACAGCACATAATTGGCGTTATAATACCCATAATTGATATGATGTGACGAACCTGTGGAAGGCAGAATGATAACTTCATAGTCCGCGTCTCGCCCATAGAAATACTAACGCCACAACATTCAGTTCTTTCCTGTTGTTGTTTCTTTCCTTCATATGTACATGCCAATTGACCAATCACGCTACATTGAACTCTGCTATTTCTATGACTTACTATTAGTTCATAATCATTTAATCCATTTTCAGTAAATGTGAGTGTGTCTGCTGACTTAATCTTAAATCCCTCATCAACGTCAACCAATATCTTATCTCCATTCACCATCTCAAACTCTTTGCTGTATGGTAGTCCGCTGTTATTATATCCAAGTTCCTTTAACTTGTTGAGCTTCCTGTCAAGTTCATCTACTTTCACTATACTGAGGACTAACATCCTCGGGTTATCTTTCTTTTGCATAAGAATGAGCTGTACTTCAAACACGTTTAACATTCTTAAAATTTTGTTTATTATTTTTCTTATTTGCCGTTTCGGAATGGATGATCCCCGAGGCATTGATATCGAGGTGTATCTGTGAATAGTAAATTATTGTATATATTCAAGCAATAACCCCCCGGCCAAAGGTGGGTATACATATATTGATATATATTGACACAGGCGAGTGCATACATGGAGTGAATTGTGCAATATTGAGTATACTGGTATATATAATTACCCATATATCATGGCAGTTCAGTGTAATAACTTTATATACCTTCTATACCACCAACAACATACAAAGTATGTTTATGCACAAACAACACTACGATAAAGACTTTCCGTTTTTGAATTTGTGAAATTCTTTCTTTTTTTGTGAGAAAACAACACATGAAAAAACAATATTTTGACAAGAAAATATCAAGAATAATTCATAACGAAATGTATTCCCTGTGCCCCATAAATAATTTTCACAATTACCGGTTACACAAGAATATTACAAAAAAAAGATAATTTGCATATTCTCAATATTTTTGCTTTTTATTTGTTATGACTGAAAGAAGCTGAATAAAATTACAAACTATATATGAACAATAACTTTAATAAATATGACTTCCCTTGTTAAAAATATTGTATTTTCTGCATAAAAACGAAAGAATTTCACAATTTTTATCGCAGTGTTATACACAGGAAAATGTGTACAGTGCTACATAAACTAATGTGCTGTACGAAATGAAATTATCTGTCTCTGAAAATTCACATAAAGGTATATACAAATGAATGATATATGGATCTCACAGGTAAGACCAGGAATTGATATCAAGACTAAGCATATCCTGCCCTACCACTATCACCTGACGCATATCTAAGTAGAAAATTCATGAAGGTAGATTTGGCAAATGATGTTAAAGTAACCAGAGACATATGCCTCAATGACTTTTCGTATTTTTTCTGACATGGAAACGCTTGAATATCAATATAAGACGTTCTCTCAGCAAATATTTATTTTACTTTACTTTCATCATGTCTGAATGTAGCGTGTTCATGGACAGAATTACTAGATGCATCAGAGAAACCAGGTTTCTTGAATAAAAATTCATAATATTATCTCCTACATACAAACACATTATTATTAACCACTTTTTCAGCAGACACAATAACATGAGGCGGCATACTACATAGCCTTATCCATTCTGAAAGTATGTCAGGTTCAATATGCTTTTCAAGCTTATGTGTCAAAATATGTTACAGAAACCTTTGTTAAGATTCTGTTGTAAATTCATTTGGTATTAGTACATTCCATCTTGTATCTCAATCTCAGAGTGTGACAGCGCTAACTGAAAATCTTAATGTCTTACCCTGAAAAATGGCGTACGTTGAATTCGGTGGTCTTCTCTGAGCAAACCATGTCTTGTTTTGTTACCAATTTCCAATGTCCATCACCAGAATCACAAAACACCATTACAGTTCTTGGTTGGAACTGACGTTTTTTTGACGGTGGCACAGGAAGACTGAACTTTACATCTTTCTCAAAGCGTATCGTTTCTTTATTCTTCTCATTTATTTGAACAATTGGACCGAATATAATGTCTTCTTTACATAAGTCGTGAGTTACCGTTAAGCTTGGGTCAGGAATATGTACCTACAGCAGTGTATGGAGGGGGGAAATAGAAAGAGATAATGTAAATATAAAGAGTTTTTTCACGTGTTTGCGAAAATAAATCTGTGTTTTAAATCACGTAGAAGGCACACGATCAAATAATTCAGTTATGTTTGGCCTATTGATTGGTTGGGTAACATTCTTCACATGTAGTATATAAACTCCCCTATGCTTTCTTACCGTCATAGACAGGCACATGTCATCCATTACAGCATTTGGGGGAAAGTCAATAACTACATCCTCTGTAATTTCAGATACAATTCTACCACCTCTATCATTAACGTTACACTTTTGCACTCGGGGAGTCGATAACACGACAAACTTGGCACATTTACTTATTTGTGCTAACACACCGTCTGTTGTCTAAAAAAATAACCATTTGAAAAATAATAAATAAATAAATGGGTCTAGGATACTTCTTAGTATAAAACCTTGTGAACATTGTAGTGATACGTCAAACTGGAACACTGGCACTCTAATGTTTCATAACATTGTGATATGCCGGAAATAGAAGCCATCATGACAATTTTTGTAGGTTAAATGTTTACACATAGAATTAATTTTGTTTTACTATATTGCGTTGCAACGAACAAGTAGAAGCAACATTTCTATCTATCCGCTAATATTGCATCCTAATCACCTGTTTTGTAGACACATTTTTCCATTTCGTCCTACCATCGATTGTCTTAATACAGAGCGATTTCGAATTCATAGATTGACATTTAAATCCTAGTGTTACTGGTTGTATGAACTCATATGTATTAGGTGATATTTCAATTATGTCTGATTCAATCATTTCGTAGTCACCCAATATTTTCTTCAAACTCTTATCGTGTGATGTTGTAATAGTCAGATGAATTGGACTCTGAACTGATCCAGGAGGAACCGAAAGGGAAAAGCCTCTTCCGATACTGTAAGACACCGTTTTCTGTAAAACAAGATGAATATTTTTGCATCAAAGGAATGAATGGCGATTACGTATTTGGGGCCGGCGATTTAAAATGATATATTTTCAAGAGACGTGCTATCGAATGACTTCGTTCAAAGACCTTGATATCGTGTGTATATAGCTATTTACTCATTACCTCATTGTCTAACTCCACGATGACTACTTTCTCGGTCTTTTTCTCTAAATAATTCGACAATAAAGATAAATTATAAGGTGATCGCAATTTGTTTTTCAAAACGTTGTTAATATGGTATTCCGTGATCTTGCTGTCATTTGCAAGACCAGGAGTTGAGATGCATTTCATTTGAAATGAAAATGATTATGGTCTTTTTCACTTTCAGAAAGAAAATGTTCATTATAGCTAAAAGTGTACATAACTCTTCAAATTCCAAAATATAATTGAGACAAATCCGTAAAACATTTTACGGAATTGTTATTGTTATACATTTAATCATGTTTATATTACCTGGATAATGTCTTGTTTGTGTGTACATTGGGTTTCCATCGAGAAACAACGTTGTCAAACTTATAATATCGTATATTCCTTGTGGTACTCCATGTAGACGATTGTTTCTCAGATTCAAAAACCGAAGATTGTCTAGGTTTCCTAGTTAAATCATTTGAAGACAAACAGTATATATGTATGTTATATGGTATATATGTATAGTGACAATATACTACCGAATTTAGTGCTGCGATTTGTATGAAACCAAGCATGTAACATTCATTCACGGATCTGATTTTTTAAAATAATTTCACAATTATCAATAAAATAGTGAACATACCTATTTCATCAGGGATTGATTGGATGACATTGTTAGCTAGTCCCAGCCAATAAAGTTGACATAGTCTCCGTATATTCGGTGATATAGATGAGATTAAATTGTTATTCATATTAACCACTTTAAGCTGTCTTAATGTCCAAAGTTCTGACGGTATTGACTTGATGCGGTTGTATGAAACATCGATGTGGTTTAGTTGTTGCAATCTGGAAATATTTGCTGGTATTGTTTTCAGCTTATTGTCTGCAACGCTTAAACCGTGTAATGTTAGGCAGTTACAAACAACAGACGGCAACTTCGTCAATGCATTGTGTGATACATCCAATATCTTAAGGTTTTGCAATTTAGCTAATACTTTTGGTAGAGTCTTTAGCCGATTATTTGCCAACACAAGTTCTCGTAGGTGATGGAATTTTGCTATTGATGGTGGTATTTTTCTTGAGCTAAGAGTTAATTTCTCAATAGACGGGTCGCAAGACTGGAGTAGATCCATCTTTAAGTAGAATTCGTTACAATCAGATTAGATTATGATAAATTGTTTCTATTCAAGGGTGGTAATGATGATCCAGCTCAGGCAAAGGGTCACGTCGATGTTCACTGGAACCAATGGCAGATACTGTTATTAGACATGGTGAAACAAATGATAGAAACAGCGGAGGTCGATGCGTAGCGAACTACTGTCTACATCTTTTCCTTACGCGGGTAATCATTCCATAATTTGGAATTCGCATTTTTTCTAATGTGTTAAGATGAAAATACCGCGAAATGACGACACGCTGTAACTTATGGCGTTACGGTGACAGATATATAATAATATGTTTTAATAGTTCTGAATATGATAATGGTAACACAAACACACAAGTCCTCTTTACTTAGTGTTTGTCTACTGTTCAGCAATCTAAGATGTCAAATCTAGTTTTATTATGAATTAGAAAGATTGGCTGGTACTCCGCTCAAACTTTTCATACAGTTCCTACCAGTTGGCCGTCTTCCCTTGGAAGAAACGTTTTATTAGCATACCAATACAAGATGATTTTTCTATGCATGGATGAGTCACTCA